GGAAATAAAGAGTTTGTAAAGGGGGGGGCGGGGAGGGGGTGAAGGGAGGGCAGGGACAAGGGGAAAAAATGAGAACCAAGACATGTCATGTAGAGGTACAAGATCCCAACAATGAATGTAACTGTACTGTATCCCTAAAATGTACCAATAAACTCAATTAAAGAAAAAAAAAAAAAGAAGGTAGAAACTCAGTGTTCAGGTAATAAATTACACTATGATTCTGAATGGCTAAATGTGAAGGACTTTTTGTCATTAATAAAACAGGAAATTCAAATTCTTTTTTTTTTTCTGGTACTGGGGATCCAACTGAGTACACCTTGTGCTTGTGAGGGAGGCGGTGGCACCACTGAGAGAAATCCCTGGCCCAGGAAATTCAAATTTTTATTAATGAATTAGGGTTTTCACCAGGTACATTTACTGGAAGACCAATATTTATGGTCTGGACAGAAAAGAGAATAGGGGATGGCACTAGATTTCTTTTCAAGTATGGATGTTGATTTGGTGTAATGAGATAATCTAGAATTTTTCCAAAATCTGACATCTAGCAGGGTTAGTTTCAGTTGCTTACAATTTATAAAAGAATCATGACTATAGAATGAGACAGAAATATAAGAAAACCAATGTAAGAGTTCAGAAATTGAAGTGAAACACTACGGGAGCTGTGTCCTGCCTAACTAGTGGCAGCCTCCCGAACCAGAGACCACCAACAGATTTAGCCTCACCAACCGCCAACTGCCAACCACGACCTCCAGTGCCGCATCGCACAGAACCCCAGGGCTGTTTGGGCTCTGTGGGGATAAACAACACCTACCAATGGCTGCCTAGCCTGGAAGCAGCGAGGGTTTAGGAGCAGCACATGGGCCAGGTATTTGCCTGTTTTAGTTCTGTTTTAGAGAATACAAAAGAGGTTCTATCAAAACTGGTCATGGGCTGAGGATTTAGCTCAATGGTTCTGCTGCCTGCCTCACAGGCACAAGGTCCTCAGTTCAGTCCCTGGTATCAAAAAAACAAAACAAAACAAAAAAACCACAAAAAACTGGTCAACTTTAAGGAATTATAACAGAACTGATTAGGATCTCTCAACTGACATTTCTTCTCCTGAATCCCTCCCACACATGAAAATCAGAGATAACCCAGCATAAAATGTGACGACTAAAAGCTAAACAAGGAAAGTTTAAACTATCAGGAACAGCATGAAAGAGCTGAGAGACTTCCGGGTAGCTGAAGTCTCTTAGTCTTTTTTTTTTTTTTTTTTTTTTTAAATTAAAAAAATAATAGCATTACGCGGGGGAGGGG